TAACGCCCTGTACAATCCAGCCAACAAGTGTCTTTTGCAAAATCGGACAATTCGGACTTTGTTTAAACTGACCTTCAGACAGAAGCTTAAAGAAAGTCTCAGCTCCGATGAGCATGTCGATGTATGGCTTATGAAAATATAGATCAGCCAATTGCAGGTTCTCAGGAATTTTTCAACCACTGACATTGACCGTATGGTCAGGCTGGTAACCTGAAATGGTCTTCAAAATCCACAAATCTAACGAGAACTCACTGCAATTGACTCGCGACTTCAACACTGTATGAATCTTCTTTTTTTTTTGAGTATTGCATTGAGCAATGCCAAGTAAGCTGATACTGGCTTCTTCTCTACGCAGCTGCAATCGTTGTGCTAGCTCGTCTGATACAAAATTAATTTCTGATCCAGAATCAAGTAAAGCTCTAGCCAAAACGAACTCGTTACTTATCGTTTTAGCCCTAATGACTGCGGTAGCTAGGGTTATACTATCAGATACATTCGCATACATAGCAGTGTGAAGTCGATGGTTGATCCGGTGCGGATTCATGGGGTGATGGTAACGCCAGAGTGTTAAAAACAGCCGAATATCTAGGGAACAGTATGTTATAAGAACGACTGTATACTCTGCACTTGTTTGCCTTACATTTGGCAACAGTGTGCCCCTTCCGAAAGCAATTGATGCATAAAGCAGCCGCCTTAGCGAACGCAAACCGCTGCTGTACTGATAACGCGGCAAATGCTGAGCAATTCAATATCGAATGGCCTTCGGAACCGCAATATAAACATTTTCGGGTCTTTTGATCGTTTCTTCCACTAGCCACAGAACACGAAAACCAACCTCGAATATTGCTTTTGGAAACAGCCTTTGACTCTGGCTTCAGGCCATCGGACGAAGCTGTGGCTGATTCTTCAGCAGAAATATGTTGATGGCTACGATTCAAGGCTGTTTCTCAATCACTCCCTAGTGGAATGATTGCAAAATCAAGTTGATCGTCCCATATTTGTCTGGTCATTGGGTCAACTTTGTTCAAAACGAGGTGAATGAGATGCGCGAATGAGCGACCCATAGATGGCGGAGATAGTGTCAATCATTGATCTCAATAATACCGCAGAAGGGTGTGTTATTTTTGGCAGGCTAAAGAAATATTTTCATTAAATATTAGACATTCATAGACATAGACATTCAGACATTCATACTCTCTTAAGACTGTCAAATGCTTTTAAATAATTGTCCTCGGTGACTTGAAACGCTGTAGAGAGACATGAGATTAGATGATCGAATTTCTCTATGCTCGAGATAGCATGATCGTTATGAACAAGAATTTTGAACAGGCTAATAAAATTCGTAAACTCGGACCATTTTCCACTAAACTTGGGAAGTGCTAGATGCGGAAGACGTGTGTATGGAACCGCAACGGACATGCCTGTAGGCGTTGCAGGCCTTAATGTCATGATAATGGACCTTAGACGAGCCGTTACCGTTATACAAAGCTCTTCGAGCTCGGTACGATACTCATCATCTGGATCAAAAGTTTATACTCGAGTCTATATGTGTGGCCAGCATTTCATTCTAACTCTGCAGACTCTAAGTTTAATTTACCCTTTATTAGTTGATCATTTGAACGCATGATGCTTTTAACGGACATATTGTGTTTCTTTTTTGAATCGCCAACATTTTCCTAAGTAGCCATATTTGATTCTAAATTCGATTTAATAATTATTAACTTAAATTAAAGTCGAAATTGCCAAACGAATTTAAAAAAATGATATGCCTGATCAATAATGCGTAGGGGAGCGAGCGTCTCTTGACCGAAACGCGCCAACAAATCACAAAGCGGAACGAAAAGAAACGGGCTACAGCTGGCTTGCTATGTATGTGTATGTATGCGTGTACTGCATTTATATACAAGCGCTTGGTCTCGGACAACTGTATATTTTACAGTGGTTGCGAGTGATTGCAAGAGGGGGACCCAACAAGCGAAATGAAATTCTAGTGACAATTAATTTTTGACATTTATTATCATTCGCTTAGAACCACTAAATTGCACAAATACTAAATTTTATAAAAATCTCCAAGGTGGATAGTAAGTGCATGCAACTTTTAATTATGCTGAGCTACTTTACATATGTGCCAAGAATTAAAAGCGTGAGCTTTATTAGCGAAATCAAGCCAATAGAGTTGCGCTTTCAATTTTTAGCACAGTAGCTGCTGTTGCGGACGTTCCACTTTGGAAGCTACTTTCCTTGACATTCTTCAACGATGGCAGCATGACTGATAATAAGTATTGGTCTCAAGCCGACACGATTTAATTTAAATGTTTAATTAAAAGTCACTTGCGAGCCACAGCCTTGCACTAAAACCACACAGTCCACCCGGGGCGCCATGAAAAATTATATTAGTTTATAAAATTAAAAACGAAATACGACGAAGTTGTGGTGGCTTTAAAAACACTGCTTATGCGGTTTAGTGCGTATCGCTTTGATATAATTCGACAACTGACAACTTATGCCTACATTAAGCAAAGGCGGCGAAACGCTTCCGGAGTGAGTGATAAAGCTTTATTGCGCTCTCGCTCAACTCTAAACCTAACCTACACTAGACTTCATTCATTGCTGCATTTGGGGTTGGTAGAAGAGGGTTCATGGTATCCCCTTGTCAGGAGCTCCCGACTAGAGCTTCTTAATTGTTTAAATTGTTCAGGGTATAACAGACTTCGAATTCGAAAAAACCGCACAAACTTGGATACAACAATACTGCAGAAAGACCAACACTGCGTACATTGGAAATGCTTCTCGTAATAAACACACCAAACATCAAACGACTAAGCTACAAAACAGATGCTGAAAACTGCGCTCATTTGTATACACTTATTGAATCACCAAAAAGTTTCTAATTCCACGTCAGCTAAAAAAATATATCGGTTAAATACAAATTGAAAGAAACTTGTGTTTTTTTTGTGTTGGAAAAACTTTAAGCTCGTGGAAGGAACAATAACATTTTAGGAGCATTCAACACTAATGATTCAAATAGACGACCCAAACTATTGAAAATTCTTTATATTACTGCTATGATAATTTTCTAAAATTGTCAATGTCATATGCAGGCGATAAAATGAGTTACGTGGACTGCCTCATCTGTAGACGACAGAGTTAACTGTTAGAATAAAAAAGCTCAATAATATCACGATTTCATCATTGACTTTTGAACATCTTAGGCGATGCATGCAATCCAGAAACTTGAAACGTAAATTCAACTAATGCAGCTAAGCTCACGATAACTTAGATGCTAGGAAATAATATAATCGATAGTAGCTTAATATAAAATCAAAAATAAAATTTCTTCCCCTTCTTGCAGACTGGTGAGAATATCATTCTCGGTTTATGTACCCGTGTCGAGCGACGTACACTTTGCTCTGTTGATTGATATGTCTTTTGTAGAATTTATTGTTATACCTTTTCCTTGATGATTTCTGGTCTGATCAAATCTAGTGGCTTACGTAATTTTTGACCCAAGAAAAGTTTTGCTGGTGATAAGCCAGTTGTGCTATGCGGACAAGAATTCGTTGCTGCAAGAATTCGTTTACGTTTCTTTTCAATGTGTTAGATGCAATTCCCATTGCCGATAGCGCAATTTTAAGCGTTTGAACATTTCTTTCTGCTTGATCGTTCGTAGTGGAGTGATAACTTGCGATGTACGACGCCAACAGATGTGAGACTTGATGTGAATGCGCAGTAATGACGACTTGGTCTTCCCAATAGTGATCGGAGCATAAAGATCGCTTCGAATGTTCGTATGTAGAATTATCATCCTTTGAGTCTATCGCGCAGGGGACTTTCTAATGTTAACAGATTTGGTATGAACTTTGAGTAGTAAGCGTATTTCCCAAGAAACAGTTGCCACTGATCGATTATAGATGGTGTCTGTTCTTTTAAGTTGGCCTCAATCTGCTTAATTAATTTTTGTACAAGACTGTGCCTGCAAATGTTGTTGGCTGTTTCGCGATTGCCTTATTGCAAGTGCTGCGATTTTGCATACCAAACAATCATATGTTCCTTAGCATTCTGGAAACGAGCCGTACTTGCAAAATGCAGGAATTTGAAACCTTTGCCTTAATGTTTCGTTTGTCATCGAAATAATTAATAAGTAATTGCTTAACAACGCTGAACTGATGACGTTCCATTGGTCGTTTTTAATGCTCATTTTGACCACTTCTGACACCACTTTTGTGTTCTTAATTCATTTCTGTTTAAATTAGGCACTTTTACAAGTAGCGCTGCAGGCTATTTCATCATAAAAGTAATATAGATATCGTAATTCAATAGGGATAACTTACATGCTAAGAAGTGTAGCTTAAATAAAAGTCTTCGTCCATTTCCAAAGGTTTTTAATCTATCTATCTATCTTTTTTCTTCAAATCTCTTTGGAAAGAATCTTATATCATTCGACTTCCCAATTAAAGGTGGAAAGTCTGATATAACAAATTACAGGGACATTGCAAACTTTCCGCTATCCCCAACATATTCGAAAAAATAATCCCACCGACTTTGCAGCATTTCTGCAAGTAAGTTGCCTCTCAAGTTCAACATGGATTCGTAGAGAATCGGTGAACTTTAACAAACGGCTTCAATTTACTTTTTTGGTAAATGATGTTTTTAGTTTCAAGAATGCAAACTGATGTAATTTACACCGACTGAAGCAAAGCACTTTACCCTGTGCAGCATGACTTTTTACTCGTTAAACTTTATGGTTTTGCTTAGGATTTCGGCCAATCAATTGGATCAATTATGTAATACAGTCCTATATCTGAATATAAACTTAACTTAGGTATATTATGATAGATAAATACTTGCTATTTGATAGTTTTATCGTATTAAATGGCTTCATTATTTTAGAAAATATTATAGCTTTTCTTAGTCCTAACAATGCAATATTGTTGTTATAGGTGTCTAAATCAAATTTTTTATGCCTAATTAAACTTACGAATATTCTGATAGATAAATACCTGCTGGATCATAGTTATATCGAGGAAGACAAACTGGCTTAATTATTTTCGAAAATATTATAGGTTTTCTTAGTCTCAACAATGCAATATCGTTGTTATAGGTATCTGAATCAAAGTTTTTATGCCTTATGACAGCAGTTACCGCACGTTGGATTGCTTGAGACTCAGATGTTATTTGTTGGTCATGATCGCCAAATATTATTCTGATTTTGGATCTTCTTAATTTTTTTATACAATGAGCTGCTGAAATGACGTAGTCTTTTGTTAACAAAGATCCTCCGCAGTGAAATTTGCCATCATAAATGATTCGAGCCATCCATGGGAATTGGTTTACTCCTGTTGGTTTTCCACCGACAATGCGATTTTCTTCATTCGAAAATCCACAATCTAAAAATAAATAACAGGTATGTTATTCATTTGTTGATAAAAGCGCATTCGGTAAAGGGCAAGAGGAGCAGACAGCGCAGTCGACGCAGAGAAATAACGCAAACGCATGGCAAATGAGTCTGTAAGCAAGGGAGAGAACGACTGTGCTGTTAACTGCGCAGTGGGCGCCAACATAAGCGGTGATGGGCTCGAGCGCAGCAGAGTCAGTCGACTACGGACCTGCAAGCAACGCAAAATAAGTTTATTGGAAAGCGTAGTACTTAGTGCATAGCGCGCGGTTGTGATACAAATAGTTAGCCTAATTGAAGAGCGTAGTACTTAGTGCATAGTACACCGGTATAGTGCGCGGTTGTGATACAAATAGCTAGTGTTTCTTGCACACCAGTACGTAGCCAATATGACTCATGGCGATGTATAGTATGGCGCAACCATCGTCAACCATCGTCTGCCATGGTTGATCGTCGTGGCGAAGTTCAAGTGCATATTGAGATATGCCAGCTCATTAGTGTTCTCAAGGGAGAATTGAGGGCTGTCTTTTTGCGGCCTCTCGCTTTAAACACAAGGAAAGACATCTGCTGCCACTTAATCTTAGCTTAACGTAGGAAGGCTCCTATCGGCAGCGGGCCACGGTTTGAGTGTCCTATAATTACCTACTCGGGTCGAATGCTCGTTCCATGGCGGATCGTAGACAGGGGCGAAGTTCGTTGGCCTTACATGACCCGCCGATCGACTGTGATTGGCCTCGGCAGCCACACAGCTCCCAAGCATAGCCAGTCGCAGTCAACTCATTCCATTCTTGATTTCTAAGAAAAGGTTTTGGACATTGAACTGATTATATTATTGGGTTTTTTCACAGAACAGTGTGAAATTTCGCGGCGATGGAAAGCGGCCTCATCAATAACACATACAATGACAGTACCCTACATTAGAAAAAAATTATGTTCATTAGATTTAGCTAATTTTTAACTTAACTTAACCTTAACTTTTTAAGTAGTGCCCTTCGAGAAAATAACATAGCCCAGATTCTCTCAACAACAACTGTAGCAGTAGGCAACTACACCACCGACGGCAACAACAGAATGCAAATCCCAAGTTACAACAGCAATCAATTGGAGCGGCATTAAGTGTCAACACCGACAGCAGCAGTAGAATAAATATTTCGACCTAAAACAGAAGTACTTAGCATTCAACTTCACCACCGACGGCAGCTGCAAAAGCAACAACATAAACAGTTCATAATAATTTAAGTAGACCGCTCAAAACGGAGTAAAATAGCAACATAAAAAACAATACAATCGTAATTGCGATGCTGTTGATAGAATTCAAAGAAGCCGCGCATTTATTTTTGTGTGTACATGTATACAGAAATTTTTGAAATTTGCGCTAGATGCCTCAAACAAGTGACCAGACAAAACAAATTTTCTTTAATAACTTTTGTGTTTCTTAAATGATTTTCCAAAGCACATTTTATTGTTATATAGAATATTTGTATATTCTCAAAAAGTCAATTGCATTAAAAATGTGTAAAGTGAGAGGTGAGAAGCAAAATATCAAGTTTATTGATAAGAGCTCTTCTTATTCTCAACTTGCTCAAAAAACATGATTTTGATAAATATTTAAAAAGGCAAACCTACATAACAAGTCTCTAGCTCTTATAGGTTCTGAAATTCTTGCGTTTATACATATGGACGGACGCACAGACGGACTAGATCGACTCGGCTGATGATGCTGATCAAGAATATTTACACTTTATGGGGTCGGAGATGCTTCCTTCTGCCTGTAGCATACATTTGCACAAATACAATATACCCTTTTTGCCCACTTTTAATAGGTTCAGGGAAAATGGAAAAATGGAAAGGTCGCCGAAACTAGTACTGTAAAAATAAAAATAAAAATATAGGATTAATAGAAGATTTAAGCGAATAAATAAAAAATGCAGCATTAACTGCATACGAAATCAGTATGAAGTATTATAAATCGAACAAGGAGAATTAAGTATGGCAATACCAAGATACTGAATCAACAGATAACCCTGTCTAATGCGTTTGAAACCAAATAATAAAAGAAGAAAGTGGAACTGACTCGGATCAAATTGAACTGTTTGGAAAAAAATCGACACGTAATGCATTTCTCATATAGAGAAATGCTAGTTCAGGGGGTATGTGCCATTGTTGAGAAGGATATAATAAATGCAATTTTCTGTGAACTCTCAATATTAACATTTATATAGCCCAAGATAATAGACGCATACCTGACGGCAACATTTAGCCAAACAAAACGCATGGTAACCGATACTTTAAACAAGTACGAACAAAAATAAATAGCTGCCATGGAAGTCAATAGAGCCCATGGGGCCGTCATTTATCTCGCCGCCTATTTATCCTTCCCAGACCTTGACGTCGTACTAAGAGGTACAGCCCTTAAACAGCAGCAAACGAAGTAAGACAAAATATAAATATCCAAGTAGGATATAAATTAACTGTAAAATCAAATAAGAGACTGGAAAATGAACTTACATCCTTGTACAGTGAGGAAACAGTAGACGCAGACTTGGGAGCCACAGTCATAATTAAGAGGAAGGTGTTTCATGAAAATAATGTGAGACACCTATAACATTATTTTCTTTTCTTTCAGTTGCTTAGATGTCCAGCATCTTGACTGTGCTATTTCTTTTCACAATGACAACGGCACAGTCAACTGTACGCAGTCTACATCTCGCTTATGGGTGGAGACAATTTGGAGAGAAACAGAGAAATTGAAGAATCATTTCCTTCCATGAGACAGATTCTGGACTCTGATATACGACACATAACAATGCTCCTGGCAACAATAATCATCCACTATAGGTACGCTAATAGCGTCAATCTATCAGGTACTTTTTTAGTGATAGTAGCAGGGACTCCGGACTTTAATGACCTTGAAAGGCTACAAATTACCCAACAGGAGCTTATTGAATTTGAAAATAAACAGGAATACTTAAAAACAAAAACGGAGGCTGATTTCAACTAACTAATAGATGTAGTAAAAACTCGAATAAACAACTAGGCTCCCTAGATTCCCGCCTAGGGAATTTCCTGAACCTTCCTATTCCAACACCAAATGTAGCGGATCGCGCATCGCGATCGTTTGAAGTAATAAAGATAAATTAAACAAGTAAGAGGTTCTAGTCGGGAGCTCCCGACTAGGGGATACCATGAACCCTCTTCTTCCAACATCAAATGCAAATATATATACTATTCTAGAAGCTACATGTCAAGTTTGGTGACTCTAGCTCTCATTATTTTCCAAAATTGTCCAAAAACAGGATTTCGATATAGATTTTTATCGATTACTTGGAAACAGGGCAAGTTATAGATTATCGGAAAACAAACTCGATCTGCGCAGGCACTAGGAGGACCCAGAGGAACAGACGGACGGATGGACAGACGGACAGACGGACAGACAGACAGACGGACGGATGGACAGACGGACATAGCTACAATCGCAATTGCAATGCTATGGAATTAAAAGCAAACGCGCTTGAATGTGTTTATGTACATGTATACAGAAATTTTTGCAATTTTCGCATGCTGCCCCAACCTCGAGGTGAGCAAAAACATGTTCCATTTAATTATTTAATAACTTCTGTGTTGCTTAACCGATCTTGATCAATTTTTCTAAATCTTATTGTACTGTAGAATATTCGTGTATTGCTAAAAGGTCAATTGCATTAAAATTGTAGCTTAATGTAGTGGGCAATACAAGTTGGGATATTAACTTGATTTAGTAGCGGGCGATAAGTATAAAATGAGAGATACTTGATCAATATACACCATTCTAGAATAAACATATCACTTTTGGTGACTTTAGCTCTTAATATATACCCAATTTGCTCAAAAAACAGTATTGCGATATCGATTTTTATCGATTGCTTGGAAACAGAGTAAGTTGTCGATTATCGGAAGCAAGCTCGATCTGCGCATGGACCAGGAGGACCTACAGTGTAAGAATAACAACGGCAGTGGTTTTGTAGTTGGTCAGATTCAGAATGAATTCGTCTCTCTTTATTTAAAATGGACTTAGCCTAAAGTACATAATAGAGTTTGGAGTTCTGTCGCTGAAAGCAGCGGGAGAACGGGAGTACATAGCATGCCATATGTATTTGTATATATGTTGTTATATGTACATGCAGAAGGCATATACATTGGAATGCGCTTGGGACCGAACGGTCAAAACGTCATACACCTTACGCTACAGATCTCACGCTGCAGGCCAGTCCACATATAAGTGGCTGATCATATTACGGCACTTGGCGGTAGTTGTATTATGTAAACAATGCGCGTGATACTCTAACATTAAGATTGAGCATATGACCACTTTACATATTGTATACATTGCAATATGGTGGGTATATGCTTATTTGCATGTAACATGCTACAACAGCTAAAAGGGCGGACAGACGGACATGGCTAGATCGACTCAGCTGTTGATGCTGATCAAGAATATATATGTATACTTTATGGGGTCCGAGATGCTTCCTTCTGCCTGTTACATACATTTGCACATATACATTATACCCTTTTTAGCCATTTTCAATGGGTTCAGGTATAACAAGTAAGAGGTTCTAGTCAAGAGCTCCCGACTAGGGGATACCCTGAACCCTCTTATTCCAACACCAAATAAATTAATAAAAAAAAGTTCCCTTGGCAGGGATCGAATTTGAAACTGACCGCATTACTTACTGTCAACTCTACTCAACAGCCACACCAGCAAAAAAAAAAAAAATTAAAAAACTTTCCCCGGTAGGGCTCGAACTCGCGACAGACCGCACCACTTGCTATGCCTCTACTCAGCAGCCACACCAACAATTAAGTACTTATGATAAAAAAAGGAACTAAAATAACATTACAAAAAAAAGATGCAAAAGATGCGAAGCAGACGCGCATGAATGTGTGTGTGTCCATGTATACAGAAATTCTTAAAGCTGCTGCCCCATTCAATTGCGCAGTTGCATATAACTT